CAGTGTTTAATGGAAGCTGTCCATAAAAGGGCCATTTTATTTTATTAATGGAAGGTGTCTGTTTATGTTAATTATAAACTCTCTTTCATGTCATCACCACGCATGTAGCAACCAGTGTATGCACAAACACAACATCAAGAGATTTGCTTCAAAGTAAGAGACACAGCACAATAACTGTTTGACTGTCTTTTCCTAAACAAGCACAGTGATCCCCACTTTTTAATGTGCACATTGATTTAAGCTTAATGTACATACTTACTTAGGTACAGAGAAAAATAGAAGAACTGTCCTCTAAACATCTGATACACTCTTCCATCTGGCCTGAATGGACGTAAAAATACTCTTAGGCAAGATTAATTATAAATTAGGTAAAGGACAAAGTTTCTGTAGCATGAAGCAACTATATGTGGGAATAAGCCACTGACATTTGATATATGAAATACTCTAGCATGGCTTTGAGGCTTTCAAGACAAACTTCATTTATTTTAATTGGTGATGTTTTGGGAAGGTTGTGTGTAATACCATCAAATATACAATGGTCTTCCTGTATTCTGATTGACTGTATTTTCTACTGCATGGTATAAAGAAACTTACCAAATGAGAAGAAAGCCTGATAAAAGGATGGACAGGTAGTGATGAGTCACCCACCAGCCCTTTATCCTAATATGTAATAAAACATATATAAAAATAATTATAACAAATAATAAAACACAGAAAACGATAGTTAAACACTTTTTTATTTAAATTATAGAAATGTTAGATAGAAATACCAACACAAAATTGTCCTGTTTTCAGTGTCACATACAGGGATGATGCTACAGGAATATCCAATATCATGGATGCATTTGTAAGACATTTAAGTTGGTAGCATAATGAACATTTTACCCTACAATGGTGCTAAAAGGCTGCCGCACACTAGCTGATTTTTTGTTGTAGAACTGCAGAGTTTTCGTCGGGGTCAAATCGGGTTAAAATTTGTTGGGCCATCAGCTTGCTGCACACTAGCCAATTTTTTGTCGTGACTTAACCACGTTGAGGCTTGAGGCCGAGTCATCCAAAATCAAGATGGTGCCTATTCCACTGATGTGACTCTCGTGACATTTCCTAATTGGTTAAGGCATGTGCGAGCCCTGACAAATTGTCTTGGTCCACTGCACACTAGCTGACAAGGCCTGAAAAGATGTCTTGAGATCTAGCACTGCCAGATATCTCCCAACAAGCCCAGATCTTGTCGCTGACTTGTCTGAATTCACCACACACTAGCTGACAGTCAAATGAAGATTTTTTGTTGGCCGACAAAAAATTGGCTAGTGTGCGGTGGCCTTAAAGCAATAGAAACATTTTTTTTATTTTTGTGATGTCCTAGCTTCCTATACAGAATGATGCTCTTTGGGCTCATCACACAATCATGGAGGGAAGAAGATTGCGTGACAAGCCCAAAGAGCATCTGTAAAGGAGGCTAGTGATGTCCAAGAAAGTTACACTACAGGCAAAGTAATGAGCAAAATGACCCGATTAATACCGTGAGCCATTGGCAATCAAAATATGTTCCTGCAGAGTTAGTGTACTGTAGTACCACAACAACATGGCATGGAACAGGGCATCTGCTAGCCTACAAGACATAAAACCAATAGAGCTCTAGAACCATAATTATCCCACTTCTCTAATCAGTGATAAGATGGGATAATATCCATTCAGGGAAAGAAGCATTACTCCCACTCTGATCATGCAACAGAAACCAAGAGTTAAATGCTGCACTTCATTACTTGGCACTCAGCCCTGGTCTGTAGGATTGGAACAGGGGGGTCGGGGTGAAGTCTGCATACGAACCAAGAGGCCCATCAGGCTGGAGTTTATCCTGGTTCTGTAGCATGAAGCAACTAGGAGTATTTCTACTTCCCCCTGGATGGGATACCGGTACTAGTCCATTGCAGGGTTAGCCCCAGCATTAAGTTTCCCCTCATTAGAGTACAAAAAGTGTGCTTGTAAGACAATAAAAAAGATTATTTACTGACAGCTATCTTTATATTTTTAGCACCCAGTGGTAAGTTTTTCCCATCACCATTGCACCTCTCATGGTGACCACAGAGAACAAAGAAACACCATCTGCACAATTAAGGACACTGAATAATAAATTAATACTCAATCAAACAGAAAAGTGCTAAATTTATGGTCTGAGATCATGATTAATGTTTACATAAACAAACTGTCATCAGCTATTGACTATTATTAATCGACAGTGCAATCCAAGTGAAAAGTATTATTTTTGTGTCACAAAACATAGTTACAGTTTTTTACACACTCCAAATAAACAACAACAAATTCAATTCATCAGCACTTATTTTTGCAGGTTTCACCAACCATCATGGAACAATGTTAATGTTTAGGAAACTGCTGACTTTGGAAATAATCAAAATGTTACATGATAAAACAAAGTAAGCAGTAGAATTTCAAGAATTAGTTAATTAAATACCTGTAGTTGAAGATATACAAGTTTAGGATGGTAAACACCATACTGATAACTGTCATTTTAAATTTAAACCTCTCATAGTCATTTTTGTATTCCATCCTGAAAAATAAACACATTGCTATCACTTTCATTTGTAACTTCTAATCTATTTCTGAAGGATAAATACACTGTTAGCAAAATTAATATGAATAATCAATAAATTATAATTTAACTGATAATTATTAGTTGTTAATCGATTACTTATTATAATTATTTATTTATTAATACCCAATATTTTTACAACCCAATTTGCTTGAAATAGTTGTGTACTCAAGGCTGTGTTCTAGAAGTGCCTTGGTGTCACAGGCAACTAATTTTTGCCTTTGGGTGACTGCAAAAACTTACCTTTTTCACATAAACTTAAGTGCTGGCACCCAGGATTTCATGGTTAGGAACTTTTGGGTGCCTCATAATTTTTCTTAGCCCACAGCCTTGGCACTTGTCTATACTTCAAGCAAATCAGCAACTCATGCAAGTTTTTAATGTAAGACCATGCGGTCAGGCTATTCAAAAGACAGAACAATGAGTACAACAACAAAACTACATATTAATTATTTCAACACATAGTTTAGTGCTGTGCTGTGCTTATTGTTGTGTAATTTGAATACTGATCATGTTATCTTCAGTATCACTAAATCAAGTCACATAAAATCCTACAACTAGCCACTTACTTTGAATTATAGAGTGAGACATTGATATTCCCTAAGCACAGCTTGAGGAATAACCTGCAAAGAAATAAAGACTAGTTATTTCTTTAAATACTGATTAGTTACCACCTGCAATAAAGCAGTGTCCTTTAGACTGACATACTGTAAAACCAAAACTAAATAACATCTGGCCTATCACAGCAAAATTATCAAAAATAATGCAATAATCAATCACAACATGTAGCAAAAATCACACAATAGGTGTCGAGCATGGGAAGATCAAATATTAATTAATATTATTTTATTAGCAAGTCACCATATTGGTTTTAAATATTACTTTATAAAGTTTTTACTATATAAACTGGGGTGTTTTACATTAGGATTTCCTGCTTTGTGAAAAGTCGTAATTGAATAAAATAAAGATAATTTCCCAGTGATGATACTGATGGCATAACTTGTGATATCATTTTTGACCCCTCAACTGAAATTTGTTGTAATCTGTGGCAATCTTCGATTATCTTCTGAAATCTTCGGTCATCTTTGGAAAATGTCTGGAAATGTTCGTGTGGCCTTTGGACAAGTTTTAGAGAATCTTTGGAAATCTTCAAAAAGCAGTCAGAAATCTTCAGAAAATTGTTGAAAAGCCGTTCTTAGTACATGTACATCTAGGTTTAGGTAATAAACAAAATAATGCATGGTTGGTTATAGATATGGAATATATCTTCTCCTGGTCAACTTTATATCTCCCTCATTCACTGTGCTCGCTTGTGAGATATTGAATAGCCCTTATGCACAATGACATCAGACAAGCAGATTTCACAACCAACCCTCATTTTTAAATTGCAAATTGCAAATTTTATCATGGGCAAATTCCCAAAGCAGCAAAGATGAAAAGAATATCTTCATGAAAACAGCATGGAGATGCCAGAGGTTTGAGAAAATTTCTCGCAAACGAGGCTTGGTGGTGAATGTTTAGCATGTGACAAGATCATGCATACGGCCTAATTTAGAACACTCGAAGAGACATTCCATATCTGTGCGCATACATGTATGTATTTTTCTTTATTTGACATGATCACTTGCAAAATCAAGAAACTGAATGTTCGCTTTGATTACTGGTAGTTAGATTGCATTACTAATAACTATGAGTCCCTGGAACCAATCAGAGTCCTAGCTGCCAACAAACAAATGTCAACCAACCTATATTACAATGACTGTGATTTCTGTGATTATTTTTTGTTGTTATTGTTTTGTTGAAAGTTAAGTTGGATAAGATAGAGAAATTATGAGTTAAATTCAAATATTTAAACACTTACCCTGGTTGCGAAGGAAAGCTAGTTTCAAAATCCTTTATTCTTCTTTCCAACTCAGTTATCTTCAACTGAAGTTTTTGAATGTGAGCTTTCTGTTCCTCACTTAATGATCCGTTCCTAAACCTGTGTATATTAACAAAATCACATAACTTTATGTCCACCAGAGGCAAGACAAGGGAAAAACACAAGCCAGACTAGGGAAAAGACCATGTGATAAGTAAAGGTGCTATAATTAAAATAAATCAACTAGGCCATATTTTGGACCTTAGAGTATCCACTACTTCTGTAAAGCTTAATTCTTTAAGTCTTCTTGGTGCTGAAATGGACCTCAGCAGGGCATACATTTTACTACCCCTCAAAATAAGTATGATCGGTTTACACTTCTCCGATGAAACACTGTTTGCTTTGAAGAACAGTTTGAGTTCTTCCACATAATTATTTTCCAGTCACTGCTTGGTGTAAATTCCACCATGTTTACCCCAAATATGATGGACGCACCACAATACTTGGCTGCCCTGACACTCCTGGTCAGGGTATCTGACATCTCATTGCCCTTTGCTGTGTTTATTTCTCTTTAATACTATGTTGTTTCAAGTTAGAACATAACACAAACCAGAAATTTGTTTGAGCAAAACTGATTAAAAAGAAAATTATAGCGCTGTAGAATCTTTACTTATAATGTGGGAGTGACCCTGGCCTGGGTAACTGTGTTGTGTTCTTAGGCAAGAAACGTATTAACTCTCACAATACCTCTCTCCACCCAGGACGGTGTACATGTATACATTGTTAACAAAGTTAACTTTGTCTAATGCCTGGTATAACCCTGCAATAGACTAGCACGATCCCACCCAGGTGGGAGTACAACTACTCCTCATCACGTCGTGCTTTAGAATCTGGAGATAAGTGCACCAGCTTGATCAGGGCCACTGGGCTTCAATGTAAACTTTTAATAATTATGTTCTGGTACCTACATACCTGTAGTAATAATCACATCTTTATAAACAGATACATCCTCTAACAGGACACTAACATCTAGTCCCAACCAACTTTGTAGATATTAGTTTCCCTCTAACAAACACCTCTTGCAAATGAACATAGAATCCTTAGCATGATTGCCAAGGTCCAATTTTGAATCTTCACGGCAAAACGAAATCTAGCTCTCCCATAAGCAAGTGCTTGTTCCTGTATACAGTTGTACAAGGTTTAAGTGTCTAATGAGGCCTTATTTGACTACAGGCATGAGGAGATGTAATGAAAATAGTGATGATAAATATCTAAACTTAGACCAGAACATGTGGATAGGTTGAGCCATGGAAGGAAAGTTGTGAAAATGCAGTAACATAAAAGGGGTTAACATACCGTTTCAGTGATTCCTGAAAGTCTCTGAGTTTTCTTCTCTGCTGGTTTACGGCAGAAACACAGGATTTTTGACTGGAATGAAATTCATCCATTTTCTGCTGATAGTCTTGAAATTTTGTTTGCTAAAAATCACCAAGACAGAGAAACAAATGAAAGACTGGATATACATTTAAGATTCAAATATGTACACAAAAGTAAATGTTCTCTATATTTCATGGGAGTGTTCAGTATAAAAGTAGTGCATCTAGACTTTCAGGGACAAAAAAGACATCTGGGTTCCTGAAGTAAAGATATAAGCCTACAAGGCTATATTAAAAGAGTACCAGTGTCTGATAAAAGTTTTGGTCCCTTGATTCAGGTGTCACTTTTTCATCCAAAAAGTGGTGGTCTGAATTCCCTGCCTGGGTCCTCTCCTTAATCTGAGGACATAACTTATCATTAAGTTAACATAATGGGTGCTTAATTCCATTTATAACAGAGCAACGGGTCAGAGACCATTGGGAATTATCGAGGTAAATGGAACAACATTTTCTGATCAAACTGGACCAAGAAGAATGGCTCTTACCATTATTTATAATTCCTTTTGCAAATTCTCTACATAAGTGAAATCTACTGAAGAGAAGCAGGGCACTGAACCAGTTTGTCAAAATGGGACAGCAAATTTTGGTTGGACCGGTCTGACCAATCAGAGTGGGCCACCTCCAGAGGTGGTCCTGAATAGTCTGGTTAGACCGAACTGAAACAGACCTCTCCATTTGACTTTTGACCAAAATAACCAGAATTTTTGGCATAATGGAAAGCAACCAATATGTCATTAAAGAAAAGAAAAAATGTAATAGAGCCCAGTTTTTTATTCTCCTTGAAAATCAGAAGGTATGCAGAATTTGATCTGCTTTGTGAAATAAAATTGATCTTTTCGTCAGAGACAGACCCAACCTGTAGTTGTCAAATGTCAAAATGTCAAATGTTGTTGTTTATAGTGGTCAATGTGCTCAGCTACACCTAGCTAGTTCACAGGCATGCCACTTTAAATGAAGGAAACAAATGTATCAACTAAATGTAATAGGCTTAAAAATCCCAACCGGCGGGAGGCAGACCAGTTGGCTATATGCAAGCATGACCGAGGAGCTGAACTAGGGTCTACC